TTTGAGTAGGCATGCATAGGATCATGCTCAGAGGCACACCCATTACTCCACACATATAGCACAATGAACATAGCAGTCGCCAGCATAGTTAAAAATAGAGTTGTGTTGAATATTTGCAGCCAAAATGTCTCCTCCTGCGATGACTACTTTATCTTGTGCCTGGTTTCGAGTGCTGCTCAGCTGACATCCCTCCTGTATCGATATTCTTTCCTGAGGAACCAGCCACTCTGAATTTGCATTATTTCTCCTCCATGAAGGCAGCCGTGTTTAGGGAAGTTTTTAATGTTTGATGTTTTATTGTGTTTTTAATATTCTGTTGCAAGCCGCCCAGAGTGGCTGGGGAAAACCCAGCCAGATGGGGGGGGTATAAATAATCAATTATTATATTAATTATTATTATATATCTGCCATGGATGGCGCAGACACCAGTGAGGGAGCCAGCAGATAGAATTAAGTCTGCCGCCATCTAGTGATTAAATTATATAATGACATTATCCACACAGTAGCCAAATCTAATTGGCTACTTGATATTATCGTTTACTCCTAGGAAAAAGAAAGCCAACCTTTTTGAAAAACCAACTACCCAATGCACCAAATGTGGCAATTCAAGCTGGACTTCTTGTTCCACCAGAATATCGGGCAACAAGGAGAGGGCGTTCTCACATTACACTCTACCGGAGTACAAGTCACCTGTACCAGTGTTCAGATACATTTTAGAAAGAGTAAAGGGCTCACAGTGCAATTGTAACTAGGCCTACTTAGAAGTAAGTTCCTCTGAGTCAATGAGATTCACTCCCCAGTAAGCAGGGTCATGGTTCCAGGGCAAACAATCCGTGCCAGCCATTTGCAATCAGAAATAACAGGAATCATGAATATCAGAGCTTGGGGAGTTTTATTTTATGTGCTTTCAGTTCCCAAGCCTACATTAACATTTCTAGAGTTTGCTCTGCAAGCAAGGAGATCAAATAGTCACTTGAACATTCTGAATGATGAATCACAAGACCTTCAGTGACATTAGAAAAGTTGACAGTATAGACAAGGAATCATCTCTCAGAAGACAAGTACAAATGTTGTGAACACAGTCAGAAAGGACTGATTAATTAACAGAGTGGCAAGCCTTAATCACTTTAATTTGGTAGATTAATCAACCAAAAACATTTTGGTTGGTATAACAAAGACAGTTTTTTAATTGGTACATTGAGGAAAAAGGATTTACTTTTTGGGGGGATGTTTGTTTTGGTGTGTTACAATAATTAGGAATTGGTGGGGTATGACCTTCTAATAATGAGTAGTAGCTTTAGGTTATAGGTATAAATTATGTCATATTTCCTTTGGTTTCTCAAAAGAGGCACCTATGTGGAGGTTTTGATTAAGATGCAGTTGGAGGAAAGTCTTGGCTTTGTCAAGAGAAGGTCTTTCCTCATTGTAACCCCTTATGCAGCCCTCACAGTTTTTGCATTGCAAAGGTGGACTCAGCCAGTTCTTACACCTGTATGTTCATCAGTCATTGACTGCTGGATCAAGTGATGATTTGAATTTGAACCACCAAATGTAAATACATGGCTACAGATAGCATTCTCATATCACCAGAGACAACAGGGAGGAAAAAGAAAAATGCATGTGTGCCCCATGAACTATGGTGGTTCTATTTTACCTCTTTCACAATTCTTAAATACTGTTGTTAGGCAGCCCAATCGACTCTCATCGTAAACACCACATTTACAACTCATTTGTATAATTTTGAGCTGCCTCAGGAGCCTTTCATCTCTCAAATGTCTGCAGAAACCATACATATGTCACTTCGAGGGTCAGTGATAATACTGACACCCTTCCAGGCTTGCTAAAACAGGAATAAGATTTACCAAGCAGCACACCTCTCAAATGGCACCTGATTGGCTAGGATAACATTTGTTTCCAAATACTTTGACAGCCTGGTGTTCATTTACTAAAGATCCCATCTCTTTATCCCCAAAGAGCGTTGTTAGCAAAGAACAAATGGGGAAAAGGAATAAAGCCACATTTCCCCTCTTCACCTTGAAATACTCATTGCAATAAAAAGTTTAATGTAATCATCACAGGGGCTCAATTTTCGCAGTTCTTAGATGTTTCTTTTTTGAGGACCATTGTTCTAGCGTACCACAGAGATGGTCAATCTCTTGCCCATATGCTTTCCATTTTGGAATCTAAAACTATCTGTTTGGTTCTATCATAGAACCAGCCGCGTGTGTGGCTTGCATGACGTCACACACACATGACTCACGAGCGTGCTTGACATCACATGTGTGATACGATAATCTTTATTGTCATTGTCCCATACAGAACAACGAAATTGAAAAATCAACATAAGACATTCAAAACCCAACAAGCCTGCTATCCCAGCTATCCCAATCTGGTTAGCCCCCTAAAAACTCTGATACCCCATTTTTAAATACAATATACTCCCATACAGACTCCTTACAATGCATTTAAAACCAAAATCGCATTTGGATAGAAACTGTTTCTCAGGCGGCTAGTCCTAGCCTTTATAACCCTGTACCTTCTTCCAGAAGGCAGAAGCTGAAAGAGATCATTTCTTGGGTGCGCACTATCCTACGCTATCTCTGCAGCTTTCTTATGGCACCTGGCCACGGGCCTCCTCAATGTTGGGCACCCTTTCCTCTAGTCATCCTTTGCGCTTGACCTTGCTATGGACCTATGGTTGGTCGCCTTGGTTGCCCAAGGGGCCTGGTAGGAGTTTTTTCCCAATTGGCAACTTGGCACCGGCCACTTGGTTTTTCACCTACCTTGTAGCAATTCATCACAACTTTTCTGGTATTGGCAGTTAGGCATTGGAATGTGTTGTTGGTGTATGGAAGGGCAGGGTGTGGCCATCTCCTACCCCTTCAATTATGGGTATTCCGTTAAAGGAATCCAGCTCTCGTGGATCCTATCCGATGCCCTGCTGGGGCTGGTAGCCATGGCACGACCCCCGGTGACATCAGGGGAGAGCTTATAGTTGTATTTGCATCAACAGGCTCCCCCTACTGGTGGTTAACCCCTGCTAGACTCACCCTTCCCTGAGTGGGTGGAGTCAAACTTTGGTGTTTTCTCCAATGCCTAAGCCAATACCCTTCACATGCTGTAATCAATAAAGTTGTGGCCTTTTCTAGCCCATTAACCTAATATACTGTGTCTTTCTTATTCCCAAGTGAAGGGGGCGGGTCCTCGAATCACAACTCATCGCCTCTCGACTGAGCTGCTCTCTAATGGTGTCTCCCATTTCCTGGACTTTTGGTTTCCCAGCTTGGCTCCCCGCCTGATGGCTATGTGCTTGATCCATTACCCAGAAAGCCCTTCCCTTTAAATTCAAGTGCTTTGTCACGCAAAGCCTTCCCCCCCCCCTTCTCACTCCATGCTGAGTTTTTACTTTTCTTACCATTCATAAATATGGAACCGAAAAGGGTGCGCATGATGCCCCCACATTAAAGAGGAATAATGACCTCTCTAGATGCAAAGAGAAGAGAACCCGGCGACGTTTGTGCAATATTTCAATTTCCATGCAAGCGCGTTCACTGCCCCGCTTGCAGATTCAGCAGATTATGCTGGTATCATGCAGGAAATATTCCCCCTTGGGGACAAATGAGCGTAATATATAAGAAGCAAATGTAAATGTCTGTTTCTTTCTGGGAAGGGGGGCGTGCTATTTGGGTTGGGGGTCAGAGAGAGATTTCTTATGCATAGCAGGAGCAGGAAAGCTGCAGCAGGGAGATTATTCTTGTTGGTCAGCAACAAGTCATCCAGCCCGGAGCCCCCAGGGAGCCCACGCTGAAACTCGTTAATTTCAAAGTGTTGCTGACGGTTCTGACCACAAGCTTTTATCAGATCACGCTGGGTGCAACCCAGACTCTTGCTGGCCCTCCCAAGGCCTTTGTCAGGCTGCTATTTCCTATCAGCATCAGAAATAAAAATTAACATATTAATGCAGTGGAGATGAGATAAATGTTTCCTGTGGGACATGGATCACATCTCAGCCACACAGAATATGATTTGAGGATTGCTTCCTGTAAGCATTTCCAATTTAGCTCATGGTCACCAGTAACTAAAGGGGTAATTGTGGGTGTGGGCAAAATCACAACAGGGAAGCTATTAATTTTCATGTAGAAGGTCGCAAGCAAAGGACTCTGGGATGGAGATGGGGGTATGTGTGTAATTCGCTCCGGCTTCAAAAGCAAACCATCAAAGTAAATAGCAACTGGACAGAGTTGCCCATTTCCAAACAAATACCGTAGGTCTTTGCTGTACCCAGTGCTTTTTTTCTGGGGGGATGCAGGGGTATAAAGGTAAAGGTAAAGGGACTCCTGACCATTAGGTCCAGTCGTGGCCGACTCTGGGGTTGCGGTGCTCATCTCGCTTAATTGGCCAAGGGAGCCGGTGTACAGCTTCCGGGTCATGTGGCCAGTATGACTAAGCCGCTTCTGGCAAACCAGAGCAACACACAGAAACGCAGTTTACCTTCCCACCGGAGCGGTACCTATTTATCTACTTGCACTTTGAAGTGCTTTCAAACTGCTAGGTTGGCAGGAGCAGGGACCGAGCAACGGGAGCTCACCCCGTCGCGGGGATTCGAACTGCCGACCTTCTGATCGGCAAGTCCTAGGCTCTGTGGTTTAACCCACAGCGCCACCTGTGTCCCGGTCTTTGCTGTACCCAGTGCTTTTTTCTGGGGGGGAGACGCAGGGGTATGTATACCCCTAAAAATTTTGTGAATCTAGTTTTAAAAAATTAGTTTCTTCTCACCAGTTCTGTTGCTCTCCCCAATGGTGACCTCATTTCCTGTCCTGCTGTTTCCTGAGTCTCAGACGGAATGAGAGTAACCCTAAACATTTTTTTAAAAGAAAAAAGCACTTGCTGTACCCAAATTTGTTCACCAAATTTATCTCGGCCCACCCATTTTTTTTTAAAAAAGTAAAAACCTAATAATTTGCAAAACAAAAGCTTCACATTGTTGGACTGCAGATCCTACCTTAGATAGGTCAGTCAGTAGAGCTTGAGACTCCTAATCTCAGGGTCATGGGTTTGAGCCCCACATTGGGCAAAAAAAATCTGCATTTCAGGGGGTTGGACTAGATGACTCTCATGGTCCCTTCCAACGCTACAATTATATGATTCTATGAATATGATGTTGGGAAAGATGGAGGGCACAAGGAGAAGGGGACGACAGAGGACGAGATGGTTGGACAGTGTTCTCGAAGCTACCAGCATGAGTTTGACCAAACTGCGGGAGGCAGTGGAAGACAGGAGTGCCTGGCGTGCTCTGGTCCATGGGGTCACGAAGAGTTGGACACGACTAAACGACTAAACAACAACATGAATATGAGCATACAGGGAGGGGTAAACCTGGGGGTTGCTCCGCTCCAGCCAAAAACCTGACCAAAACTCCAGCCAAAAGCATGACAGGGTGAGCTCCCGTTGCTCTGTCCCAGCTCCTGCCAACCTAGCAGTTCGAAAGCACACCAGGGCGAGTAGATAAATAGGTACCGCTACGTTGGGAAGGTAAATGCCATTTCCATGTGCTCTGGTTTCTGTCATGGTGTCCCGTTGCACCAGAAGCGGTTTAGTCATGCTGGCCACGTGATCCAAAAAGTTGTCTGTGGACAAACGCCAGCTCCCTCAGCCTGAAAGAGAGATGAGCGCCACAACCCCATAGTCGCCTTTGACAGGACTTCACCGTCCAGGTGTCCTTTACCTTTTACCTAATTGTTCCCCTTTGAAAAAAAATCACAGTACACTTTCTAATTTAATAGAGTTCCTTGAGCCACTGAGCACCAAGTTGGCAGGGATAAAGGCCACCTTAAAAGTATAGAAATATACTTGGAGTCCTGTAGTGATTTCATGCTCTTTATTGCAGCTTGTAAAACAGTGATCGAATTGCCCCCCAAACCTCAGGCCTTTATATACATTATTTACACAATGAGTCCCATCTGATTGGCTGATTCTGCTTCCCTCCTGGAGCCTGATTGGTCTTTTCCTGCAGGCCAATCAGTTGTTGCATTCTAGGATCCCACTTGCCTATTGTTCTAGGATCCAAGCTTAGTACATAACAGTGCTATACGTGTCTACTCAGAGACAAACCCTGTTGAGTTCTGCTGTGCTTAAGTGGCATAGGATTAGAGCTGCAAAAAGGCAGACAGTGCTATGGAGCTGGGGCTAACCCAACACAATGAAACCCTAGTCCTATAAACATCAGAGGAGGAAATCAGATACGGTACCTGCCCTACCCCCCAGCCAATGATGTTTGGACCTTGTTTCAGAGAGAAGTTCTGGAACCCAAAGTCGCCTCTTACCATCTGGTTAGTTGAAACTCTGAACCTAAAAGATGGTGGTGTGTCACTTCTAGAAAGAGCCCAAAGAATTAGATCCCATTCTATTAAACCAATCCAACGGCCACAGGACTGATGAATTTCGACAAGGATTTTTTTAAAAAAATGGTAGATTGCTGTAGAAATGTGTAAAATTGCATTTAAGATTTAGAAACTGAGAAACTGAGAGAACCGCAACTGACTGATCCATCCCTACCATGATGCTGGTTCAAGCTAATTTTGCTGCCCTGTTTACTCAAGCTCAGCCTCCTCCTTTCACCTGCAACGTGGAGAAAATACTTGCCTCCATCTCCATACAAGTCTCCTATATGGATTAATGGTAAACTACATCATACAAAGTGCTTTGAACACTTGAAATGTGCTATTACTAAGACTAAATGTTATGTGTTGAAAATGTGCAGAAGAATAAAAAAATTCAGTTGCTGATAGCTTCCAAATGATCCCCCCCCCTTTAATCCCACTGTTGTGGAGGAAGAAATAACCTTTATTTGCAGTCTGATTGAGACCCTCTAGCGAAGGGGTGGCTCCTTTGTGTAACACAGACAGATCTTAGCTCCACAGGGATGTTTGCAAGCTGCAAGGACCCAATGATTAGGAGAGGATCTTATACCGCTGGCCATCTGTTAACAAACCCACTGCTTCTCCAGGTCTGCCCAGGATCATGGTATTACTGGAGAGATAGAAACAGTAATCAAAGGGAATGATGATTATATTGGAGATGGGCTCTGCAAATCTGTAATTCTATTGACCTTTATCCCTCTGCCTGTGGGAATTATCCCATTCTCTAGCCAATGTGCTGGGTACAATTTGCTTTCCCCTCCAGTATTCGGTGACAATTGACAAGAGAAGCCATTTGATTACACAGCTCATCTTCTCCTCTCAAACTCAAAGATCTCATGGTTTCCGACGAGGGCAAGGCTTACAGTGACAGCTGGTGATAGAACACCACTGTTATCGCGTATAATAAAGTGGCAATGAAACTTTCTGTTCTGCAAAAGTCTTTGTCTTGCAAGCGGGCTTATCCATCTCCAACTGCCAGGAGAGATAGGCTAATGCAGTAAATCAGCAGATAAAACAAACTCCGATATTCAAATTCCTGCTCGGCTTCATTCACCCATCTAGGCAAATGTGCAAAGCTGATTGACTAAGCAGATATAACCCAGGTAAATGGAAAGCTGGCTCAGAGGCCCAAATCGCGAGCAGAAGCCAACTCTCTTGGAGCCAGGCAAAGGAAGGAACTGAAAAACGCAAGGACACGGCATGTTCTTTAATTAGAAGCCTGATTCATATCATTGGCTCTCTGTCTTTTCCCTTCTTTCTTTGACCAGTGAAATGTGAAGGGTGCTTCTTGGGTGAACCGAAACACAACAAACCATCAGAGAAGCAAGGAAGGGTCTTGTTAATGAACAATGTTTCAAATCTATCTACCCACCTACTACTTACATGCCAAAATTACACCTGGACATAATGAATAGGACAGGTACACCTCAGTGGGGAAGGAATAAGGCTGAGTTGGGTCCCCATCGACTGAGTGGCACCAACAACAGTGTCTCCCTTACGGACCATAAAATCCTGAATGGTTGATACTAGGGGAGATGATGGTTGTGACCTATAAAGCCTTAAATGGCTCAGGACCGCAATACCTCAAGGACCGCCTCTTTCCATATGAACCTACCCAGACCCTGAGATCATCTTCTGAGGCCCTCCTTCATGTGCTTCCTCCTCGAGAGGTTTGAAGAGTGGCAACATGAGAACGGGGCCTTCTCTGCAGTGGCTCTCCATCTGTGGAATGCTCCATCAGTTTAAGTTGCCATTCTTCTTTAGCTGGGACTTCACTGGTTTGCCATTTTGGGGCTAACAAAACACGAGCCGTAGTAGTGGCATACATAAATAACCTTTATTGACACCTGGGAATTTCCCCCCAAAAAAGGACTCTTTTTTAAAAAAAAGTACTCTTAAACATTTTTTTCAATTCATTATGAATTATTTCCCAATACTCTTTTACCCTTTTACCCTTTTACCACATATGATAGAACATTGCATCTCCAACACTTACCTGATTCAATCTTATACATCTTAGTAAGTCTACTCGGAGTTAGATACCAGCTATAAATCATTTTCAGGTAGTTCTCCTTCCAGGAATAACATCCTATGGATGCGAATTACCTCCTTTCCAGTCAACAAATCAATCATTGGATGAGGTGAAACCGGACAAAAGGAGTCCTCCTCATTGGTCCTGCATGGGACTTGTCCACTTGTGTGTCTGTTTTGTGTGTCCACATGTGGGAATGTGGGATAGCTACATCCACTTTTGGCCAGAGCTGCTGCTGGCTTACAAACCCAAGTTCTTATGGGAGGCAGGAGGGGTCTTGCCCAGGGTTCCCTCGTATTTGGTGCCAGCCTTGCTTCCCAGTGAATGAGGTACACACTTTTCAATTTTCTCCCTCTGTCCTCTCCAGCAACATAAGTCTTTGGGTACATTGAAGCAATGCGTCAAACTTACTAAGCCTGTTTACCAAGAGAAATCTCCCTTTCAAAGCACCTTCAGCTTTTCAGTGAGCTATGGTTAGTCTCTAGTATCTAATGTTTTTTTTCTGGGTGGTGTGCGGTGCAGGAATAATATCTTTAAGTGAACTTCTTCTTTTTGAATGCGAGAAAAGTGACAGATGGGCAACTGTTAGCCCTGCTAGACAATTTCAGGGAATAATGATAACTTGCAAATGGATTCTCCTTTGTTGATATCGGAGCCAAGTGCCTGCAGAATTCGCTGTATGTCTTACAGCATGCAGGATCTAAACAAATGCACACATACAAACAATATTTCAGACAGTCTAAAACAAATGCATTAAATAAATGCAGATAAACACGTGTTTCTTTCTTACAGGAGGGAAGAATGCTTTTTAATAGATTTGGGAACCGGAATCTATGACACTCTCTCTTTGACTCTTACTTAAAATCTGTATTGTAATGCCTTGAGCAGGGATGGCCAACCTGCTTTGGCCCCCAAGTCATTTTCATTTCCTGTGGGTCTTTTATGTGTGATATGTTGATTTACCTGTCCGAATATAATGAGTGCCTGAATGTTAGTCCATAACAATGACACCCTTGTTGCTAGCTAGTGTCAGCTTTATATTACAATAAAACCTGACCACTCATAAGGGTGTTTAGGTAGCATGTATAGGAAACTACGGGCCTCCATTTCCCAGGAGCTGAAAAAAATGTTTAAAATAACTTTTGTGAAAAAAGCAAAAGCTTTTTTAAATTTTTAAGGAATTTTAGGTGCAGAAATACCAAAGGAGCAGAAAAGACTATTCATATACATGATGACAGCTGCGCGAATACTTTTGGCCCAGAGATAGAAAGGAAGATAAAGTCCCGACTAGAGACGAATGTTTGTTAAAGATGATGGACTATGCCTAAATGGCGAAAATGACCGGGAAGATTAGGAATAAAGAAGACAACAGATTTAGTTATCTCCCACTTGGACTACTGCAATGCGCTCTACGTGGGGCTACCTTTGAAGGTGACCCGGAAACTGTAATTAATCCAGAATGCAGCAGCTAGACTGGTGACTGGAAGTGGCTGCTGGGACCACATAATACCGGTCCTGAAAGATCTACATTGGCTCCCAGTACGTTTCCGAGCACAATTCAAAGTGTCGGTGCTGACCTTTAAAGCCCTAAACGGCCTCAGCCCAGTATACCTGAAGGAGCGTCTCCACCCCCATCATCCAGCCTAGACACTGAGGTCCAGCTCCGAGGGCCTTCTGCTGGTTCCCTTGCTGCGAGAAGTGAGGTTACAGGGAAGCAGGCAGAGGGCCTTCTCGGTAGTGGCGCCCACCCTGTGGAACACCCTCCCTTCAGATGTGGAGGAAATAAGCAGCTATCCTATCTTTAAAAGACATCTGAAGGCGGCCTTGTTCAGGGAAGTTTTTAATATTTAATGCTGTACTGTTTTTAACATTTGATTGGGAGCCGCCCAGAGTGGCTGGGGAAACTCAGCCAGATGGGCGGGGTATAAATAATAAATTATTATTATTATTTAATAAAGAATGGGGGAATGTTATAAGTTACCTTGGAGAACACTGTAAACAATTAAAAACATTGGCAGGATTTTAACAACACTTGTAATGTTACAAGAACTATGGTAAGAACTGAATTTGATAGGTGTTAGGACAAGGAGGCACATCTCATCTGACGACAACTTCCTTGGTTTCCCCCCATTCTGTCTTTATAGTGACCCCTTTTAGGCTGAGAACGACTCATTCAGGGTTACTCTGTGAGCTTCATGGCAGAGTTGGGATTTGAAGAAGAAGAAGAAGAAGAAGAGTTTGGATTTGATATCCCACCTTTCACTCCCTTTAAGGAGTCTCAAAGCGGCTAACATTCTCCTTTCCCTTCCTCCCCCACAACAAACACTCTGTGAGGTGAGTGGGGCTGAGAGACTTCAAAGAAGTGTGACTGGCCCAAGGTCACCCAGCAGCTGCATGTGGAGGAGCGGAGACGCGAACCCGGTTCCCCAGATTACGAGACTACCGCTCTTAACCACTACACCACACTGGCTCTCTGAACCCAGATCCCCATGGCACCGTCAGCAACAGCATGCTCTGTTGCATTTTTCTGTGGAGTATTTTGCAAAGGAATAAAACGCTGACAGCAAGGAAAGGCCCACAATCCAAACAATCGAGTGAAGTGTTTTGACCTTAATCACAACACTTTGAAACAGGATGATATAGCTTCCTGGAGGAGCTGCAGAGATAAATCCATCAACCTTTGTTCAGGTACTCTGATAATGCAGTGATGAGACCTGATAGGGAAAGTCTACAAGCAAATTAATCATTCTGTATTCAGGGATGCAGAGTCTAGGTAGATAAGATGCAGTTATTCAGGCACCGGAAGACACTTTCCGTAGTTAGAATGACTTAACCCATCCCACAGCTCTAGACGGACAGGTTTTGCTTCAACAAAGGTCTGGGCTCAAAACAAGTACAGTGGTACCTCGGGTTACATACGCTTCAGGTTACATACACTTCAGGTTACAGACTCCGCTAACCCAGAAATAGTGCTTCAGGTTAAGAACTTTGCTTCAGGATGAGAACAGAAATTGTGCTCAGGCAGCATGGTGGCAGAGGGAGGCCCCATTAGCTAAAGTGGTGCTTCAGGTTAAGAACAGTTTCAGGTTAAGAACGGACCTCTGGAACGAATTAAGTACTTAACCCGAGGTACCACTATACAAATACCTGCAGGAAATGTGAAGAAAAAGAAGGTACTTTTTATCATATGTGGTGCTTGTGTAAGGTAATAAAAGCTTTCTGGGAGATGATGTATAGTGAAATAAAGAAAAAAAAATGTATAAAATAACTTTTGTTAAAAAACCCCAGAAGCTTTTCTATTAGGAATTGTAGGTACCAACATTCCAAAGGAGCAGAACAGAATTTTTGTGTGTGTGACAACAGCCATTTGGATGCTACCAGCCCAGGGATGGAAAGAAGAGTCGCTACCAGGGAGGAATGGCAAACAAACTGATGGACTATGCCAAAATGGCAAAGCTGACTGGAAAGCTCAGGAACCCAGAAGACAAAAACTTTAAAAAAGAATCGGAAAAAATTATAATTTAAGAGACCGCTGTAAGAAGATGAAAACATTAGCAGGGTTTTAATCCCATTTGTAATGTAACAAATACTATGGATAATATGGATGGATACAAAATATAGATTATGGAATAATGTTGTTGTTGTTGTTTAGTTGTTTAGTCGTGTCCGACTCTTCGTGACCCCCATGGACCAGAGCACGCCAGGCACGCCTGTCTTCCACTGCCTCCCGCAGTTTGGTCAAACTCATGCTGGTAGCTTCGAGAACACTGTCCAACCATCTCGTCCTCTGTCATCCCCTTCTCCTTGTGCCCTCCATCTTTCCCAACATCAGGGTCTTTTCCAGGGAGTCTTCTCTTCTCATGAGGTGGCCAAAGTATTGGAGCCTCAATATGCAGTTGTAAATGTTGAGAATAGGAACCACGGAGGAGATGGGGGGAAGTCTTGAAATTCAGAATAATCTCCATATATGGATATGCATTTGGATTGTTATAAATGTATATTTGTAAAATGAAATAAAAATGATTTCAGAAAAACAACAACAATGATCTGGGGTCAGCTGAGTAGAAAAAGAATGTGTGTGTGTGTATTGTATGAAGGTTGTATCCAAGGTTGCGAGAATGAAAGTTCCCCCAGAGGTGTGTTACAGAGGCTCACTTTGTGTGCAGACTGTAAGGGAACACAAAATATGTCACCATCTTCAACTGTTACCTCACTGATTTGTAACTCAAATAAAATGCTTTAGCATTCCCCATTCGCTCACCCAATAGGAACAAAAGCCTGCACCTTTTGTTTTCGCAATAAAGGAAACAGAAAACTCGCCTGAATAGCACTGAATGGCAGGCTATAATTGCCTTACCTCTTTTTCTTAATACCTCAACAGACATTCGTGATCCTCTTTGAAGTCTTGCCACCCTCCTATCAGAAGATGAAGAAGGCTTTCCTCTTCCATAGCGTTGCTGTATTTTAGTTATTAAGTAGGATCTTAGCCAACAAGCAAAGAAAAACATTCCAGGTCCCCTGCCGCTGAATAATTGTTCCTGTTGTGACTACAGATCTGCTCAAGGGTGCCAAATAAAATTTAATTGGTTTAAGGTCAGAGGAGTCACTGAGTTCCTGAGGGTACAGAGTCAAAGGACATTGCTTGGAAAAGTAATCAGGGGCAACTGGAGACCTGAGGAAAAAATATTGCATTCTTTACTGTCCAGTAAGTCATAGTTATGGTATTTCTCAAATCTATATTTAACCATTGTTCGGGAAAGGGGGTGTTTATTGGAAACATGATATGTTTGCCTAAGCCAAGCCTTCTTCAACCTGGTGCTATGTGGGGCTGATGGGAGTTGTAACTCAAAACATAGGAGTATTGGCACATAGGGTTGTACTCAACTAAAATTTACTCATAATAGACCCATTGAAATTAATAGACCTGAGTTGGGGAGTGGACTGGAAGTAAGTGGAACTGATATAAGAGAGTAGTCAAAGGCTTCATAAAGTCAATCCTGGTCAAAAATGACCCGGCTGAATTTTGTACTGGCCAAAGTTTTGAAATGCTTTCCAAAGACCGACAAGTACCTTTGGGTCAACCTTGCAGGATGCACACATCAGCTTTGCCCCCCTGCATTTAGACTTTCTTAAAATAAAGGTCCCGTTCCTACAAGTGAGTCTCTTTTTGCTAAGGCTGATTGCTCTGAGAGGGATAGGGTGAGGGTTGCCCTATTTGGGTGAAAGGTGGCGCTGTGGTTTAAACCACTGAGCCTCTTGGGCTTGCTGATCAGATGGTCGGCGGTTCGAATCCCCATGACGGGGTGAGCTCCTGTTGCTCTGTCCCAGCTCCTGCAAACCTAGCTGTTTGAAAGCACACCAGTGCAAGAAGATAAATAGGTACCACTGCGGCAGGAAGGTAAACGGCGTTTCCGTGTGCTCTGGTTTCCATCACAGTGTTCTGTTGCACCAGAAGCAATGGGACCTTTATTTCTAAGCCTAATTGCCACATGGAGTGGAGGCAGGAGTGAAGAGGCCCCAGGCAGGTAGCTCAGTTGGTTGGAGCGTGGTGCTGATAATGCCAAGGTTGCAGGTTCGATTCCTGTATGGGACAGCTGCATATTCCTGCATTGCAGGGGGTTGGTCGAGATGATCCTCAGGTTCCCTTCCAACTCTACAATTCTATGATCCAAATCCAAAGGCACCAAGGGCTGAATCTAGCCACAGTCTGGGAGTTCCTCACCCACGTAAACGGAGCCCTATTTATTGCAGGGTGCATGCTTTATTTGTGATGGGTTATTAAGATGCACTCTTATTGTGCAAAGATGTCATCAGAGACTGGACAGAGGAGGAATGGTGGAGACTGCCTCCCCAGCCTGATCCCTCCAGAGAAGAGGAAAACAGTCTAGATTTGCAACAGTGGTGAGGGGGAAAGTTGGGAATTAATGAGAGAGGAGGAGGAGGAGGAGGAGGAGGAGGCAGAGCAGTTGGGTGACACATTATCTCTGGGAAGCATTCCAGACCTCCCCTTCCCAGAACCCAGCAAGCATTGAAAGTAGGAGAGCAAAGGGCTTGGAGACAGATGTGCCTAAGCGGCAACCGTAACAGGGGTTGTGCTGTTGACGAATGAGGACGTAGGAGAGAAGGGTGTGTGTGGAGAATTATTAGGAGAAACGCCATTACTCCAAGAGGCTGCATGTCTAAGCCTCTCTCTGTGAATATTGAATAAAAAACATTGGTAAGAACTTTCCTTGTATTATCCATTCCTGTTAATCTACCATGGAGGTTTGGATCCTCTGGCCTGACAAAAGAGCACAAACCAGAATTTAAGCCAAAAGAGTGGGGGGGGGGGGCTTATGCAAAAGTGAGAGTACAGGGGTGTCCTCTGTCCCACTGACAATAGCACACTGTTGGGAAGGCTTTTTGTTGTGTTCAACCTTGCTGACTTTCCCCGCTTCTAACAAAGTCATCTTTTAAAATGCGAACTTTATTGCAAGAGTATTCTCAACGGGTTTATGAGAGCATTTAGAGTTCCTTTATAGTACATCCTCATTTAAACGGTGGTGAGTGAGTGTGTGTTTGCCGGCACAGCAGGGCCAGTTTATGAAATCTTCTCTAAAATATTATGATCAGCTGCAAATAGCCCCAGAGCTTATGAAAGAGAGACATTGCTCAGCAAATTGCAAACATTATGATAAACTAGTCATGCTGAGATAAAACAGAAATTACTCCTAATTGTATTTTTGTGCATGTAAACTCTTCCCCCAGTAACATAATCAAAGGAGTCCTTCAAACGCAAAATAAAGAAATATTTTAAATGACATATTCAAGGGCCTTGGCAGCATAACAGTGTCTGGCAAACATCATTAAAATATGTTGGATTCAATCTGAAGCATGTTTATTTCATGCACAGTTCTAGACAATGCAATTAGTCCCTAATCTGTATCTGTTCCTAACGCTAGCCTTAACACTTCGCCCTTCATCTCAAGGCTGTCTCCCTTGACTCAGGTGCAGTAAAACTTAGCAAAATTCAACAATGCTCTCCGCTGCCAAAATAAGTGAGATCTATGAGGTGGTAAAAGGACCCCTGGACGGTTAAGTCCAGTCAAAGGCATGTATGGGGTTGCAGATTTCATCTCGCTTTCAGGCCAAGGGAGCCGGAGATTGTCCATGGACAGCTTGTGGCCAGCATGACAAACCACTTCTGGCACAATGGGACACAGTGATGGAAACCAGAGCGCATGGAAACGCCTTTTACCTTCCTGCCGCAGTGGCACCTATTTATCTTTTTTTTTTTAAGAATAATTTTTTATTAGCAGACCAATCACATCAAATCAAACCAAATTACATAAATTCCAAATTACACAGCCAAATTTTAAATTTTTGTTGGGGGTACCCATATATTAAGTTCCGAAGGGATCCAATCAACTTCTTGCTTCTTACTGCTGTTTTAATGTCCACAAATCTAACCTTATGATGTTCACAGTACTATCCAGTCCTTTCTTATTATTTTTCCACATCTCTTGTTGTTATTTTCATGTATTTTTCCTTTCTCTTTGTGACCTCTGATAGTCTCCGCAAGCTGGTTAGAACAGTTTGTAATCCTGCGTGGATATTTTTATTTATTTATCCAGTAGCCATATCCAGACGTTTTCCATATAACATCACTTCCATACATCAAAACAGTCTTAGCGTCATTAATCTTCACCAATCTGCCTCCTTTCTCAAAACCTCTGAGGAGATTCACTAGGAATGCAGTCTGAAAACAAATCCGTTCTTCCTCCCGGCTATAAATCCTTTGGCAAGATGGTGACTCCAAATTAATTGCTGCGCCATTCCCAAAAGCTCTTATTGCTTCTCGGTCTCCATAAAGCATACTTTTGGTTAAAGTTTATCTCCACACAGACCTTAATCATCCTGCTTGGGTCAGTTCAACCGACGGTTCTAATGAGGAGGGGTTCTTGTAAATCACATAGAAGGAAAGTAAAAAAAGGTCCCCCCCCATTCAGCCCCGTTGTCAACATACCCCGCCTTTGGTGTATCTTCATCGTAATATATTCCTTTTTCTCCAGCCCGTCGTCTTCTTTCGCAGAGGTCACTTAAATTAGCAGACTTCACTCCCCTTCTTCACTTGAAATATGTGCATTTGCTTCTTTTGTAATTAATTATTCCAAATTGCTGCAACTAGTGCGCGATCAGAGACAGCGTCCAGGAGAGCCGATGTCCACATGGGAGCATTCTGCCTAGGGCCCTCACCCCCTTCTTTCGAATTAGGGGGTGATTTATGGGCACAGCAGGCAAGGGCAGTGTTCCCCATTTCCTTGGGGCAACAAGGGAGGTTGCCTACTCCCATAACAGCCTCTTAATTACCCCGTGTGGGTCGGAGAGATGGTATTGTCGGCCATCTTCCAATGTGCCCCTAGTGGCCCCCCGTGGCACCTATTTATCTACTTGCACTGGCGTGCTTTCGAACTGCTAGGTTGGCAGGAGCTGGGACAGACCAATGGGAGCTCACCCCATTGTGGGGATTCAAACCGCTGACCTTTCGATCAGCAAGCCCAAAAGGCTCAGTGTTTAGACCACAGCGCCACCCGCTGTAATGTGACTGGTTCATGCATTATGTGGTGTTTGCCATTGCGGCCCAAACCACACTTATCCCTAGCGGCAATGAAGCTTCTTCTCGCCGGGATATCTCACTCACCCTGTAAGAATCTGGCAGAGCAGTGGCGTAGCTTGGAGGGACACTGGGGCAGTTGCCCCAAATGCAATATTGTTAGGGGTGCAAAAATTCGACACCCGGTGCTGCCTCAATACAGCTGTATGCTTTTGTTGCTGGGCTCCATTGAAAACAACTTCTCCATGTGAACCAGGAAATGATCTCTCCAGACAATGGAATGACTTCTTTTCTTATCTCCGCAGCTGCGATTTCCTGGGAGGCGCAGAAGCTATTAGGCACATGCATTCTCTGTCTGTTTCCCTTCCACCCACTCCCTGCGGCCCTGGGCACTGGCAAACTATTCTATGCCACTGTGGCAAGGCAATCCTATATGAAGTTATTCAGCAGCAACCCCCATTGAGTGTGATGGGGTTTCCTCGAAAGGAAATGGGTATGTACCTGAATCCTGAAACCACAAGTGCAGTGACAACTGTGTTTCCTTCCTTCTATCTGATCATCATTCAGGTAAGGATCAATAAAGACCCAGGGCCAACTGCTAGCCCTATCTAGTACCTGGTAGCCCACCATGGGACCTTATAGGGAAGGAAGGTTCAGAAACAGAATACTCACATGATGTCAGGGACTGTGCTGAGGAGGAATGGTGGGAGCCACCCCCTCCCCCTGTTCCTAAATCTTCCCAGGAACAGGAAGACAGCGTAGATTTGGAACAGTGGTTTGCAGTGGGGCATAGTTCAGAAGGCAGAAGCTGGGAAATACTGGGTGGGGAACAACTAGAAGAAGAAGAAACACTGGGAGGGAGAGGGTTAACAGATTCACAGTCTCTGGACAGCATTCCTCCAGTGCCCTCCCCAAAGCCGAGAAGAGCTCAGAAAGTCTCAGAACAGAAAGCGCAGAGGGTACAAGCCCAGGTTACAAGATGTAGGAGTGATGTAGGGACAGAGTGGGGGAGTGACCCTTAATTGGGAGCACTGCCATTTCTAGGAGATGGGTTCTTTGTTCTCTCACTGTGATTATTAAAGATTCTAATTGGAAAGATGTTCCTTTCTTTGATCTTCTCATCTACTGCCACGAGGGGAGAAAGCTGATTCCCTGAAGCCTGACAGCATCCCAGCAGACCCCATTGCTGATAATGGTCCCTGGCCACCCCCCCCTTAAAATAATTTGTCTTTGTCTGACATGAGCAGCCTAATTTTAGCAGCCATTTTAATTTCCCACAATGCTCCTGACATCATTTCGAGCACTGCTCTGAGTGCTGCTGCCTACCGCCCCCATCACCAGGTGAGCCTTCCAAGGGCCACCAATGGACCACTAAACTCAAGCCTCTTCATACCTGGAGCTGGTCCTGCACTTCACCAAAGCACCACCTTTCTCAACCAACCAATTGCACCCTCTTTCTGCCAATTCTGACGCTTACGGTTGCATCCTCACACTCTGCCCATTGAGGTCTGTTGTACAGTTGCTGTCTCCATCACGTTTGCTGCTTCCTCTGTCACAAACACCTTACCCAATACTCATGGCTTTGTGACATCAACAATAATGTGGCCAATACCCACCCTCTGCTCAGAAAACTCTGCACACCTAGCAACCAGCGCACTTAAGATTCTAACTGGTAAGACGTTCCTCTCATTAATCTTCTTTTCTACTGCCACGGGGGGAAGAAGCCAATTCCCCCAAACCTGACACATGACCAGAGAGAATGCTGACATGACCCAAGAGTGTTGATAGAATGTCCACCATCCAAAGTCACAAAGGGCAATTTGTAGGGTTATGAATTCATTTTGGGGTATCTATTTCTTTCACTTTCATCACTTGTCAAGGACATATTCATGGAGCTCATACCCAGGCATAGGCCAGACTCAATCCACAGGAAATGTCTGAAAAAAGCCCAAGAGTCCATGCGGAAAGAAGGCCAGGGCAACCAAAACAGTAGGACCAAGACCTACATCACAACTTAGGGGGGGATATGATAGAAGAGAAGACTCCCTGGAAAAGACCCTGATGTTGGGAAAGATGGAGGGCACAAGTAGAAGGGGATGACAGAGGACGAATTGGTTGGACAGTGTTCTCGAAGCTACCAGCATGAGTTTGACCAAACTGCGGGAGGCAGTGGAAGACAGGAGGGCCTGGTGTGCTCTTTTCTAGGGGGTCACGAAGAGTCGGACACGACTAAACGACTAAACAACAAAACTACATGATAGAGGTGTAGGAAATTGTGCATAGTGAGGAGAAAATGGATAGGAGGCGGTTTTTCACCCTCACGTAATACTAGATCACAGGGTCATTCAACAAAGCTGAATGCTGGAAGATTCAGGACAGACAAAAGAACTACTGCACACAGTTCATAGTGAAGCCCACAAGATGATCATCAACTTGGATGGCTTTAAATGAGGATTAGACCAATCCATGGAGGATATGTTTATGAATGGATACCAGCCACAATCCATTTGTTCTACTTCGGAATACTGGTTGTTGGGGATCACAAGTGAAGAGAGTGTTCTCGCACTCAAGCCCTTCTTATGGGCTTCCCACAGACATCTGGTTTGCCATTTTTTTTATTTTTTTAATATACTTTTCAGATATATACATTTCACAGATTTTACAATCATTTTGACATTTTAAAACTTGACTTCCTCCCCCCCCCCTTTCTGCGGTTCCTTAAATTTATTTTTAATCTCTTCTGCATATCCAAATTAACTTAACTTACTAATTTATTTATCTTCTTTAAACATATAGTCTTATGAAACTGCAGGTTATTACAACAATCCTGCCAGTGTTTTTATCTGCTTACAATTTATCTGTAAATATTCAATAAGCCATTTCCATTCTTTTATAAGAAAAAGTTTGTTATCTTGATTTCTTACTCTTCTGGTAAGTTTTGCCATTTCTGTATATTCCACAAGTTTTTGTATCCATCTTCTTGCGCTAAGACTTCTGCTTCTTTCCATTTTGGGGCAAGTAACATTCTTGCCGCTGCAGTAGCATACATGAAGAAGTTTCTATACAATTTAGGTAGTTCTGTCCCTATAATCTGGTTTGTCACTGTTAGGAACAGGATGCTGGACTAGATAGGTTTTTGGCCTGATCTGCCAGGACTCTGCTTGTGTCTTAATAACTGCACTGGCTCCCAGTGGAGTACAAGGTCAGGTTTAAGGTGCTGGTTTTGACCTTTAAAGCCCTATGCGGCCTAGGACCCACATACCTATGGGACCGCCTCTCCTGGTATGCCCCGCGGAGGACCTTAAGGTCTACAAATGACAACACTTTGGAGGTCCCAAGTCACAAGGTGGCTAGATTGGTCTCAACTAGGGCCAGGGTCTTTTCGGTACTGGCCCCGACTTGGTGGAACGCTCTGTCACAAGAGACTAGGGCCCTGCGGGACTTGACATCTTTCCGCAGGGCCTGCAAGACAGAGCTGTTCCGCCTGGCCTTTGGTTTGGACTCAGTCAGACCCTTATGTTTCCCTCCCCTTATGGTTTTGATCTATGGGCTACTATTAAAATGAGGCTGTATTTTAAATTGGTCCCCCCCCCTTATGTGTTTATTGTAATTTTACTGGTGTTAGCCGCCCTGAGCCCGGCTCTGGCCGGGGAGGGCAGGGTATAAATTATTATTATTATTATTATTATTATTATTATTATTATTATGAGTAACTGCATTCCAGTTCTCCTAACCTGTTTTTTTCAACCCCTGAGACCCCTGATACAGAGAGTATCTGGGAAAGCCAAGTAGGCTTACTGTATAATTTAGGCAGCCAATCATGGTGCAGCAAGTTAAGAACAGCAATGTGTAATTTTTAAGGCAGAAACCAGCAAAGGAAGGGCAGCATCAACAAAACAGTACAAGGGACTGAAGGCACTAATACTGAGAAGGCCAAATGTCCAAGCACTCAATTTTGTCATTATAAAATCTGGAAGGGATGCTTTCCTACATCTGCCCTGCTCATCAGACGATATTTGTATATACATGGGCCCAGTGCGGTCTTTCAAAGTTCATTTTGCAAGGAGCACTCTACTAGATTTGGCAGCCTCATTTATATTGGCCTGTAATTTAATTCCCATCTAAATTACTGCATTATAAGCTGCAAATGGGAGGCAATGTCAATATGTAACCATGTCCTTTTGGATATTTTCCCGTAAAGTAAATTGACTCTAAGCTAATTTTGGAGTCGGCACCAGTTTCAGATTTCTGACTTGGAAGGGATCCTAAGAAGAATGCAGGAGTGCTGCAGATATTTTTTTTCCTGGGGATCTGGTACAAAATTTGGCTTCCTGATTAGTTCAGAGTTTTACTTATTTTCTCATTTAGCTCTCAGGTTGCACGGGGAAGTATGAAACAGCAGAATCATTGTTAGAAACGTAGACCTGACTTTCTTCACACGTTGACAACTGACTGCAAGAACAGCTTTTGGCACTATTGGGACGAGACAAGTGTTAAAACTGAATGCTGGGAAACTCAATCCCAAAGGAGACTTGAGGCATACCTTAGTCCAGGGATGTCCAACAGGTCGATCGCAATCTACTGGTAGATCCCCACGAGGTTTTGGTAGATCGTGGTCGATCGCTGGGTCCCTTTCTTGATCATTGGTAAAAATCGAATCTGGCCCTGCCCTCCAACGAAGGGCAGAAAGGAAGAAGGAGTTTACTCAGTGAGGCTGTTTTTCCTCAGTGATTTGTTGGTGATAGGCTGTTTTTCTTCCTCCCCCAATACCCTTAAAAATGGGGGTTTCCTCCTCCCTAAAAAATGCTCAACAACTTTGACCTGAACCCCGCCAAAATGGCGGTAGATCACTGCCAGTATTTAATTCTGTAAGTAGATCACAGTCTCTTGGGAGATGGCCACCCCTGCTAGTCAGTGGAATCACATAAATGTAGCACATGAGGGTTAATCTGGAAGCAGAGCCTAACACAGCCTGGAATGGAGAGTGGGAGTGGTCCAGTCCAAAGAGGACATCTGAATAGGGTTGGCCACCGGCCAGTACTTTATATTTCTCTCTCTTTCTTTGTCTGGTAGGCAGTTTGGAAAGTCAATCAACTCTCAGTTATCCATGCTCCACCGAAAATCCACTAGGTTCTATTCTGCTTTGCTGGCAGATTGAGTTTGAAGAATCCAATTCTGAGGGAAGCTCATCACTACCATTCATGAGTAACAAGACTGAAAGTGAACATCTGTAGTTGCACTTTATGCTGGGGAACCTGTGTGGCCCTCCATAGGTTGCTGGACTCTTCCTCCCAACATCCCTGACCATTGACCACGTTGGCTGGAACTGATGGGATTCCACTAACATCTGAAGGGCATCAAGTTCCCCCATCCTTGGCCTAGCCTATATCCCACTGCACTAAAATAACAGGTAGCAAGTCCTGAGATTTTCAAGGCAAAGTTTTGATGTGTGTACATTGCAATGTTCAGAGTCATTCCTTTATCTTTCCCAAGATGCCATAGTTCCATGATTATAATCTAGCATCTCTCAGGCATCTAAGGCTGGCAGCACAAAGGAGGGTTCTGGGGTGAAGACTCATGTAACACTCAGGCTATAGTCATGTAAGGAATCAGACACATCAAAACTTTGCCTTGAGAATCTCAGGACTTGCTGCCTGTGACTTAGGAGACATTGAACAGGAGTTCTAATGGACGAGGACCTCAGCGTTCTTCATATTTCCCTGTTCCATTGTACAGTTTCTTCCCTTCCTCCAATGACCTAGCAAATCCACACATCACCTTGTAACGCCTCTGAAACAACAGTTTGAGCCAGCCCACCTAAGGCACCAGAAAGGTGTCAGAAAGCCACCAATCTCTCCTCACCAGCCCAGCAGTTTTCTTTAGGGTTGTTTCTGCTTCTTGGCCACCCAAGGATTGCATGAATATAGCAACCACAGAAAATGTTGCTTGCGGAGTAAACAGAGATGTCCACATATTGGATATGCAATAATTCACATAACATTTGCATTTCCTTAGAATATGGATCACAACCAACTCTTTGTTTTTTGTAGGCAAAACGATTCTCCAGATTTCATTCCGTCTGTGAAGGTGAAAGGGTAAACTACATCACCATGAGGACCCTTTTTGACTGGGCTTTACTTTCTCTATGAGACAGTAGTAGCTCCAGTGGAGTTGCAGGGCCATTCACCATCCCCACCATTAGGCGTAGGGGGACAGTGCCCAGTTGCCGTGGAGTACAAGTGTCAGGGGTTGGACTGGGGAGGAATGGTGGGGGCCAACCCCCTTCTTCTGAACCTTCCCAAGAACAGGAGGACAATAGTTTTCGACCATTAGTTTACAGAAGGACATAGTTCAGAGTCTGCAGACGGGAGAAGCTGAGAAATATTGGGAGTGGAACAACAGGAAGAAGCAGCACCAGCGGAGAGACAGCTGACAGACTCAGTGTCTTTGGAGAGCATTCCTGAGCCCCCCTCTCCAAGGACTAGGTGTGCATTGAGAGTAGAAGAGCAGAAAGCTCAAAGGCAGAAAGCCCAGATTAGCCGGCACAGGAATGACATAGGATAAGAGAGATGGAGGAGGTTGGGCTTACTCGGAGCAACGCCATTCAGAGCCGTCTTTAGCATAAGTGCTGCCAGGGTGCAAAGATCTGCCCAGTGCCCCCAAATTTAGTTTAGCCACCCCCAATTTTTTAGGGGGGTGAACTTAAAGTTGTTGACCTTTTCTGGGGGAAGAAAATTGCTCACCTGTAACTACAACGCTGCAGAAATAACTGAACTGCTTTTAACAACAGAAGAGGGGGGCAGGGACTTTCGCTCCATTGCTTTTCACTTCTGCCGATCGAGAGGGACAGTAGGTATACAGTAGGTATACATTTGGTGCCCCCCAGAATTCAGCGCCCAGGTGCCCCACACCCCTTGCACCCCTGGGTAAAGAGGGCCCTGACACCATTATTTAATAGGGACTACATTCTCTCTCTTTCTCTCTGTGAATACTGAATAAATTCAGTGGTAAAGACTTCTTCTTGTTACCTGCTTTTTTTTGCTGCCACCAGGGGAGGGAAAGGATTGCCTGAACCTTGACAGCAAGGGAGGGCTGGTGGCAGCCCTGCTCCAGCTATTCCTCCTGAGCTCCCAGTTATTTCCCTCTGTTGAAAGACAGAGCTGCATGGGGATTGCCTGAAGGATAGAGGGAACTGTCAGTATGTAGAGGATACCCAACTCTGTTCTTTTTTTTAAATAGATCTAAGCTCATCAGCAATTTTGATGCTTAACATGCCTGGCAGTGCCAAGATGGAGGAAGACAAGATGGGAACGATGATCTCCCGTGACAAGGAAATTAGGGTGATTTTGCTTGTTGTCAAGTCATTTATAAAGGTCTGGCCTTTATAAACCACTCTGTTTAATAAAGTGGATCCCTAGAGTGCAGAGGTCCGTATAGTTAAAGTCATGGTTTTCCCAGTAGTGATGTATGGAAGTGAGAGCTGGACCATAAAGAAGGCTGATCGCCAAAGAATTGATGCTTTTGAATTATGGTGCTGGAGGAGACTCTTGAGAGTCCCATGGACTGCAAGAAGATCCAACCTATCCATTCTGAAGGAAATCAGCCCTGAGTGCTCACTGGAAGGACAGATCGTGAAGCTGAGACTCCAATACTTTGGCCACCTCATGAGAAGAGAAGACTCCCTGGAAAAGACCCTGATGTTGGGAAAGATTGAGGGCACAAGAAGAAGGGGACGACAGAGGATGAGATGGTTGGACAGTGTTCTTGAAGCTACAAACATGAGTCCGACCAAACTGCAGGAGGCAGTGGAAGACAGGAGTGCCTGGCGTGCTCTGGTCCATGGGGTCACGAAGAGTCAGACACGACTAAACGACTAAACAACAAAGAGTGCAGACACACTGGGCAAGAGAGTTATGTTGGATCCCCACTAGTAGCTCCTTGTCCATTTGTCCAATCTTTGTAATGGAGCTTGGGGCTTGGAAGAAGATGTTGCTTCAGCAGTGAAGCAGCTCAGATTGGAGGCTTCACCCCTTCCTGGCTATTAGCAGGCCTGATCAAAGCCGGTGTTTACAACTGCCCCTCATGAGTAGCCTCACTTGCAGATTCACGAATTTTGGAAAGCAGCACCCAACTCCAGCAAAGAATGGCTCATGGCTTTGTCACCACTGAACCCTCCTGGCATTAGTGTGCAAACAGTAGCTTGGCCAGTGGCAGAGGGGACTGCATGGGGAATAATTGCATGGGGAAGGTGACTTTGGGAGCCCTTTGGGATGTTGTCTCAGAGCCACCCCCCCCATTGTCCTGGAGATAAAGGGATTGAGCCCTCCATTCTTTCTCCAAAGTGGTCATTAGTGGGGAGGAATCCCCCCCCCCATTTTATATTGATTCCTTTCTTGTGTTTATAAATGTTGGATGCACTAATTGTTCAAAATATTGGTGGTTGTTTCTTTAAGTCGTTGGTAACGGTTGTCTTTCTCCTGCAGTACAATAGGCAGAAGCATGGGTCTGCAATTTCTCATTTTCTTTTGGTGCTTTATCATTTCTTTCTTTTTAAAAATGTCATTCATCAGAATGGGCTTCATATCCTCTTGGAAAATTGCCTGAGTGAATGGGTTCGGGATATCTGCTCATTGTTTTATAAGGGTTGTTGGCTAGCAGTCCATCTGACCTTGCAAATCTATTCGAGTGATATTGTTTTTATTGCTTCCTTTAATTCTGCTGTGTGTGCATGTGCGTGTGTGCACACACACACACAAATCTGTATATTGTGTTCAGCAGAGAGTCTTCTAAGAGAACCTTTTTTTCTGCCATGTATTTACTCTTCCAATCTTAGTCCTCCACTGTAAATACAAAACACAGATGGCTCAATATCTGGTGTCTATTAAAGCCAGCTGTTATTCCATTTCCTTTCAATGGAGAGGAAACCTGTTTGGCTGGTCATCTCTGAGCAGAATGTCCCTCTATTACATGGGTCAGCAAACTAAGGTCTGCGGGCTGTATCTGGCCCAATTGCCTTCTAAATCCGGCCCGCGGATGGTCCAGGAATTGCCGCATGGATCGCCAGCGCATGGATCTCCAGTGTGTGCATTCTTTCCCACTCCCTCCCTCTCCTTCACATGGCGGCGGTGGTGCCTCCTCCCTCCCTCCCTCCTGGCTTCTCCCCACCCTGCCTAGAGAAGGAAGGGGGCTGGGCTTTGTTGGTGCCAGCCCCTGCCACTCACAAGACACAGGAGCTGCAGTTGGCTGAGCGCCCCTCTTGAGCAACCACCATTTAAAGCAGCCCCCCCGAAGCCCTTTCACACGCCACTCATCGTTCCTCATTCATTTTTTCCCTTTCAAAATATAGTCCGGCCCCCCACAGGGTCTGAGGGATAGTGGACTGGCCCCTGCTGAAAAAGTTTGAGGACGCCTGCTCTATTATATGGTAAAGTCAAAGCTTGCTTTACTAGGAAGCAGACTAAGCAAGTACCTGGATCTTAAAGTTTGGGGGGCCTTAAAATCTCTGGAGGTCAAGAAGCAGACCCTACATGAAAGGTCAGTTAAGCTCAGCAAATAATCAAGTGTGTGTATTTGTTTTAATCCTGAACTTTGGAGTGGCAGCAAAACAGTGAAAGCTAAATTAGGAAGGGTCATCCTGAAGCAATCAGTTGAGGCGTCGCAGCTCAATTTCAATAGTGCAAATCTTGTTACTTTAATAATTCTATTGGAATGATAAATGCATATGGCATGAGTCTGAGTTTGGAACGAGAGACGGGCAGAGATATTGAAACCTCCAATCTGCTGCACTGAAGGGGGTTTGGATGTGGTGGGGGTGTCCCTTTGTCTGGCTCTGCCAGCAGGGAACATTTACCACCACGGAGGTCCTTGCTGCATTCACCAAAAGCACGGGCAAACAGAAGCTATTGCTGGTGATGTTCTCTCCCCTGTGGCATTTTTGAGGTGGAGCTGAGATGGTTGAGAATTACCTAGATTATAAGAAGCTGGTAAGGTTAAGACTTAAGTTTTAAACTTTAAGGTTTATTTTATTATAGAAAGATAGGATTAAATTAGTCGAGGGCAATGTAATGATAGAATCTTATGAAACATGGAAAGGAAAGGATTTGCTGGGATAAGTAATAACTAGAATACAAAGGAAGGGAGGAGGAGGAGGTCTCCGAAAGTAGGTAATGACAGTCAAGGGTCTGAAAATAATGAACTTGTTTTATGTTTGTTCTTTACTCTTTTTTCTGTATTTTCTATTTTTTTGTATTTTTACTTTTTGTATTTTTTTTTGTTTCTGTGTAACTTCTGTATCTTTGAAATTTTAATAAATATCATTAAAAAAGAGAGAGAGAATTACCTAGTTCATAAAGCAGTCCAGCTCCTGACAATGAGCCTGATCTGGGCCGCTTTACTTCACTGGAACTGGTTGCACAAAAATGGGGACAAAACAGCCCCCAAACCGCCTTCTGCTCTGATCAGTGTGAACGGCAGGACTTAAATCTGACAGTGGCTTTGACGCTCTGTGCAACCCTGCTGCTCTGCTCCCAGGTGGGAGTTAAGATTGCTCCCTAGGTCTTCTGCTGAGTTATGCAAAATGCAAGGAAATAGGGGTTTATGAAGGAATGGGAAGGCAAAAAGTGAAACACTCGGGGCAAAACATATGGTGCATGCTGTAAAATGCAGTAAGAGCAGGGCTTTTTTTTCAACTGGAACTCGTGGGAACTCTGTTCTGGCATCTCTCAGCTGGGCACCATTGCCATTATAAGAGAAGAAGTGAGTTCTGGCACCTCTTTCTCTAGAAAAAATAGCACTGAGTAAGAGCATTACGGGACTCGGGTGGCGCTGTGGGTTAAACCACAGAGCCTAGGACTTGCCAATCAGAAGGTCGGCGGTTCGAATCCCCGCGACGGGGTGAGCTCCCATTGCTCGGTCCCTGCTCCTGCCCACCTAGCAGTTCGAAAGCACGTCAAAGTGCAAGTAGATAAATAGGTACCACTCTGGCGGGAAGGTAAACGGCGCTGCTCTGGTTCGCCAGAAGTGGCTTAGTCATGCTGGCCACATGACCTGGAAGCTGTACACTGGCTCCCTCGGCCAATAAAGCAAGATGAGCGCCGCAACCCCAGAGTCGGTCATGACTGGACCTAACGGTCAGGGGTCCCTTTACCTTTTTTAAAGAGCATTACAGTGGACGCTCGGGTTGCGAATGTGATCCATGCAGGATGCGCGTTCGCAACCCGCAGAGTCCGCAACCTGCAGCGGTGTGTCTGTGCACGCGCGGATTGCAATTTGGTGCCTCTGCACATCCGCAAAGCGTGATTTAGCACTTCTGCACATGCACAACCACTGAAACCCGGAAGTAACCCGTTCCAGTACTTCCAGGTTTCAGCGGTCCACAACCCGAAAAAATGCAACCTGAAGCGTCTGTAACCCGAGGTATGACTGTATTATAAATCTTGGTTGACCATAAGCGAGAGCTCCAATATGAAAGGCAACTTCAGTATGTATAACATAAATGTCCAAAGGGACGATCAATTGATGGCCTTGAAAGGCTGAAGGGTTGCTGGTCTATATTAAGATATCTTCATTACCTGACCATGCATATTTAAGATAGCAGCAGCAGTAATAATAATAATAATAATAATAATAATAATAATTTATTTATTTATACCCCGCCTATCTGGCTGGGTTTTCCCAGCCACTCTGGGTGGCTCCCAACAGAACATTAAAAACAGAATAAAACTTCAAACCTCAGTGTCTGGGCTGAACGATGGGGGTGGAGACACTCCTTCAGGTATACTGGGCTGAGGCCGTTTAGGGCTTTTTTTTTTTTTTTAAATGATATTTATTCCAAGTTTAAAGTTACAAAAAAGAGAAAGAAAAACCATACAAAATACAAAGAAAAATTTAACCATAACAAAGCGAAAAGTAAAAAGATAAAAGTGAACAATAAAATAGAATAAAAAAGAAGACTCAACAAAAAATATAAAAATGCATTAAGTTAAAATAAAACAAAAACAGATTAAACCTTTACATAGCCTTTTCCCTTTACTTATTTCCATGACCTCCTCTCACCTCCCAATTTTGTATTCTAGTTCAGATCGTATTTCCAGCAAATCCTTCTAACCTTATTTTCATTTACGTATTTTAATTTAAAATAATGTAATTAAAACTCCTCTGTTTCGTCAATTTCATCAACTCATTTTTGCTTAATCCTTTATATCATATCTACCAAAACGACCTAATTTTCTTTTTCCAACCTCTTTCTAACAGTCTTTTATATTGCAATATTTTTGAAGGTATATTTTGAATTTTTTCCAATCTTCTTCCATCTACCCTTCTCCCTGGTCTCGAATTCTGCCGGTCATCTCAGCCAGTTCCATGTAGTCCATCACTTTCATCTGCCGAGGCCATTTAGGGCTTTAAAGGTCAGCACCAACACTTTGTGCCTGGCGTGCCTGGCGTGCTCTGGTCCATGGGGTCACGAAGAGTCGGACACGACTAAACGACTAAACAACAACAACCAACACTTTGAATTGTGCTCGGAAAAGTACTGGGAGCCAATGTAGATCTTTCAGGACTGGGGTTATATGGTCTCAGCGGCCACTCCCAGTCACCAGTCTAGTTGCTTTGACGTGGTTTCCAACTCTGTAGTGACTAGCGCTCCTGTACCTTTAAGAGCAGCTTGATCTTCAGACAGAGCAGATACTAATGCTTATTTCCATGGTGTGAAAAGTGTTGCCTGCTGGGTTTTGCACATCAAGCTGCTAAAAAGGACACAAGAGTTCGTTTGGTAACTCTGCTAATTTTGCTCCCTATTCTACTCTTACCATTTTTTGTGCAAAAGGAATTTATTACACAGAAACACACATACTTTCTCTCTCAACAACCCATACAAAAACACACACACACCAGACCTACAACAACAAAATGAAACATTTTTGTTGCAGCCTCTTGCACTGTATTGTCAAAGCCTCCTGTGAATAATTTTTATGTTGCCAGAAAAGGCTACATTAAATGCCCACAACAAGCTGCCGCCGTCATTACTGAGAATGATGATGAGCCAACACACGGATGCTGTGAGTAATCTTTCCTGATAGCAAAAAAGATAACAAGTAGGTTTATATCAGTCCTAGTTTATGGGGACCCTGGAGCATAACAGGGATGTTGGTTTACTGTATTGCTATTTGTGTTTCCTGAATGGTAACGGCTGGCTTCCTGTGCAATATTCAGTAACCTACAAAATTACAAAATTATTCAGAATTCCATATATTTCATGTTTAAAGTCCTTAAGGCATATATGAGGCTGAATAGGACTTACAGGAGCAGGCTTTCCACCTTTTCCCATGCTACTTCTATGCCTATTACCTGGTACACAGATATTATTATTATTATTACTATTATTATTATTATTATTACTATTATTATTTATTAAATTTGTATACCGCCCTGTACATGCCGGTCTCAGGGCAGTTCGCAGGATAAAATCACAACAGAAAGACATACTCAAAAGAAGAACAACCCAATGACCCCTTGGGACACAGATATTCAGTAGATATTTTTGACCGCTGATGTATATGCTACCTCTATATTTGAGTGTCCAGTTACTGTTAAAAGCATAAGCGCAGAGCTAAAGAAAAATGGATAGTGTCAGGCTGCAGAGGACCCAACCCCCACTGCAGGATGGCAGGAACCGAGAAGACAAGGA